AGTCCAGGAGAACAACTGTTCCTGCACCAGTGGGGAGGGGGGGGAGAGTCGTGAGGGAGCTCAGCTTGTCCTGGTCTGCTGGGCTGGGCATGGCACCCACAGCCTAGTTAAACAGCTACAGGCTGGTTTGGGTTGAAAAGGACCTTCAAGATCATCAAGTCCCACCCCCCGCCCTGGGCAGGGACACCTTCCACCATCCCAGGTTGCTCCAAGCCTTGTCCAACCTGGCCTTGGACACTTCCAGGGATGGGGCAGTCACAGCCACTCTGGGCAACCTGTGCCAGGGCCTCACCGCCCTCATAGGGATTAATTTCCTCCTAAAATCTAGTCCAAATCTCCCCTCCAGTTGTTTAAAAAGTTTAAAACCTTCCTCTGAGGACTTTCTGAGTTGATACCCCCACAAACCACCTTACAAAAAATCAGCCAGTAGATGGCAGGGCTGCAAAGCCTGATAACATCACCCGAGTTCAATTCACTCCAGCAAGAAGAGACAGAATGATATTTTAAAGACTAATGTTTTCATACTTTAACTACCCTAACAGGATCTATTAGTACATCTGCAGAGATGTTGTAAAGACTTATGGCTGGAGGACTACAATCAGCACACCAAACAACCCAAATCAGGAAGATCCATTCAAGTTTAAGCTTATTTTCAAATCCAAATCAAGGAGAGCTTCTAAAAGTGCAGATAATTTCTCCATAGCAATGTCCAACTCATTTCAGGCATCAGCCAACTTACGGCTATTGCCACCGACACGTTTTTTAGAGGGCAAAGGTACACAAGAAAGCACAAGCCTGTGCCAGTGCATGGTTCCAATCTCTGAGAAAATAAATATCCTTTTCCCTATTTTCATTATCTTTTCAGTAAGGTAAATCCTGAACCTTCCCTTCACCAGTCACACACCTTTTTCACAGCGAGGATCCCACCTTAATGCTCACAATACCATTTTTAAGCATGACAGGAGTTTTAAATATCAGCTTACACGATGAATCATCAGAGCTACTCAGTCTCAGCTGAGCAAACCCAGTGCTGAGCAGCACCAGGTGATGCTCTTGTGTGCAAGGATCAGACAGGGAGGTACCCATCCCACATCATCAGCAACCTGAGGGCACACATAGACTCCAGTATTTCTCTCTAAAACTTTTCCTGAGTGTTTCAGGGCACAACTTCCTTCCACAGGCAGCTTTGCTCATCCTACTTTTATATTTCCCCAATTTTAAGAGCTTTAGGAAAATTTTATTTTTAATTTATTGGCATTTATAATGCTACTTTCAAGTCAATACAGTTGATTTCTGTATCAATTAATTTCATCTCACTGTGGTGATTTATTTTACTTCAGTATTGCTAATTTCTTAGTCAGAAATTTCCAAAGGATCTGCAGGAGGGTTTGCTGGGAGAGCTCAGCCAGGGCTGGCAGCAGAGGCTGTGGTGTCCCCTGCTGCTGTCAGAGTGGCTTGGGGGATCTGCCCTCCTGAGCTCTGCCAGAAGAGACCCACAATGGGCACTTTGGTTTTCTTGCAATGCCCAGAAAAGATATTTCTTGACTTTGGCTTCATCACCATGAAATTATAGCCCTAAGTTCACATCCCTGTGGGATTCCAGCTGTAACGAGCAGATACCAATCATTATTTGTGGACGCAGACTAGAACAGAACCATTCAGAGCCATGAGATTTTCTCTCCACAGCATTGCTCCAGGCATGGAATCCTGCAAACCAGCTTTGGTAAGAAACTTTTGCCCCCTCCTCCTCCCTTTTTTTTTTTTTTCTTTTGCGCTGAGGACGAAAAACGTAGCAACAATCTGCTTTCTGATTTCCCTGCTCCGCTTGCCTTTGTGTGTATCAATCCACATTTAACCTCTGGATTTGGGGAGTGTTGAAGAGTTTGCAGTGGGCAAGAGCAACAGTACAGAGGGGGTTTTGCCCCTCTCTATGACAAGCAGACTCAGCCACCCCAAAACCCCTCTAGGCTTTCCAGTAACCCCTTCCCAGCATCACATCAGCCTCAAAGCAGTAACTCAGAGCAAGTTAACTAAAATGTGGTACGTTATTATACACATGTGGCTGTTTTCCTCATAGCCACCAGTGTAAGCTTACACATGGTCTCACTATCCAAAATTCATGCTGGGCAAGAGATCTGTCATGCTCTGCTACTCTCAAGCACCCCCATCAAGCTGCCCACTTCATGTGCTGCATAAACCCAGGGGTACTCTGCCCACTCCTCCCAAAAATGAGTCTGAGGACCCAGAGGTTCAGGTTTCCTCTCTAAGGGAATGGTTGAGCTCCCACCAGCTTCAGTGAGGGGATGTCACCCCAAAGTTATTGTGTTAAAACCACCCTGCCAACTTACCACCCCACCAATAAATCCAAAAATCAGAGTTCCTGCACACAAAGCATCACAACATTTTGTGGTTATTGTGCTTTTAAAACATCCAAAGCTGATGCTCCAATGTTTCCTCAGTTTACTTACCTTGAGGAACCCAGCAGACACCCACCGATCCCACCAGGACAGGTAAACTCTTCTTACCACCAGGTCTGGATCACTCACATGGAGAAGCCTCCACCTGCACAAGTTTTCTTGTGTACAAGGAGAAAACTCACCACCAGGAGCAACTCTCAGAGCAATCCCAAAGAGCCCCGGGCCCCCAGGAGTCACCAAATAAATCCTGGCTGTCATTATTGCATTCACCTGAGCTTCCCCTCTCTTCCTGATGAAGCAATGAGCAGCACCTGGCACAGCCCCTGCAGCCCCAGCCTGGCATCCCCAGGAGCTGAAGGAAACCAAACTCAGGAATTTCTTACCCAGTCTATCCCTCCACACCCGAGAGTGTGCATTTTAGGGGTGCCCTGTGGGTGCTGCACACATAAAATCATAGAATAAAAGAATCACAGAATTGTTCAGGTTGGAAAAGCCCCCAGCACTGCCAAGGCCACCACTAACCCCTGCACCCAAGTGCCACATCCACATGGCTTTTAAGTCCCTGCAGAGATGGGGACTCCACCCCTGCCCTGGGCAGCTGTGCCAGGGCTGGACAGCCCTTTCATGGAGAAATTTTCCCAATATCACACCTAAAGTTCCCCTGGCACAGCTTGAGGCCATTCCCTCTTGTCCTGTCCCTTGTTCCCTGGGAGCAGAGTCTGACCCCTACACAGATCCACCCTCCTGTCAGGGAGCTGTAAAAGGTGAGAAAGTTCCCCCTGAGCCTCCTTGAGCATCAGCATCTCTTGTCCCCAGGCCAGGGATGTGCTCAGTGGATCCTGGCTGGGCTGGAGGGTCCTGGAACAGGGGAAATGAGAGCCTGGGGGTCCTGAGTCCAAGCCTTGTGCTCGGGGTACTAAAGGGGCACCTGCAGAGTCCTCTTAAATGAATAAATATAGTCATTTAAATTTCTGAGTGAAACATTGCTCCTTATAGGTTAGGATCTCATCTGTCCAAGCTCGGGTGTCCTGCAGCTTGTCTGGTTTGTGCTCAGATTCAAACACTGCAATGAATTCACTGAGCACCAAATATCCCTCTGCCAGGGGCAGGTGGAGCCCAAGGTCCAGCACCAAACAGTGAAGATTTGGTATATTTGTCTAGAAAATAAGAAAATTGCATCAGTAGGAATAACTAATTGCTGGAAAACAGCTTACCAAGAGTTGCTGTGCAATCTCCCTTACTCACCTTTTTTACATCAATATTAAATGTTGTGTCCATATCCAAAGAGGACTTGCTGAAGCCCTCAGGCTGTTTTATTCCAGGGGTGGGGTCTGGTGGGCTCAGTGTTTCACCACAGAGGCTCAGTGAAGGAAATCACAGCTCCCAGGATTTAAGCATTAAAAGGAAGTGTGCTGTTATGTGTAACAAGTGATTATATGGCACTTAAACAGGAAATCAGATGCTTCTTCTACTGCTGCATGTTAGGAAAAGAAACACGGTAATGGGCGAGGTGAGAGGTGGTTAATGCCATAATGTTTCCCTGTACGCTACTGGTGGAACCATTCTGGAATATTGCATACAATTCCTAGCATATACATACATGAAAATGTCTCTGAAATATATAATGCTTGGGGAAATGTTGCATGAGGGAGTAAAAGATCACTGTCTGCTCCTGTCTGAGAGGTGATAAATACCCAGTGAGGAAGCAGCTTTCTGCAGATGATCAAACTTGACATAATTGTGAGGAGCGGGATCAGCCCGAGATTCCAGGCTGTTTCAGTTACAGATGCTGCATCCATGTGATTCCAAGACCCTCCCTAGCTTCCAGGGGAAACAAATACGTAATTACTGGCCTTCCTGAATATTTAGGTTAGTTTGGAAATACCAGGATTAGAGGAGAGATCGCAGAGTCATAGGTTTGCTATGTTAGGAAAGCCCTCCCAGCCCATGGAGTTCATCCTGTGCCTGATCCCCCACCTTGTCACCCAGACCAGAGCACTGAGTGACATGTCCAGTTGTTCCTTGGACATGTCCAGGGATGGGGAGTCCACCACCTCCCTGGACAGCCCCTTCCAATGCTTCACCACCCTTTCCATGAGAAAACTGCTCCTCATGTCCAACCTGAACCTCCCCTGGCACAACTTGAGGCCATTTCTGCTCATCCTGTCCCTTGTTCTCCGGCAGCAGAGCCCGATCCCCATCAGGCTCCCCTCTCCTGTCAGGGAGTTGGAGGGAGTGAGAAGGTTCCACCTGAGCCTCCTTTTCTCCAGGATGCCACAGGATGGATAAAGAACAAATTGCAAGTCAT